CATAATCACGTTCTTTTCAGCTTTGCAGTTTTTGTACTTTATGCGCTTGCTCAGGTCAAGTAGCTGCAATCATTACGTCGTTGATAGGATCTTTGAGCTTTCAAGTCTTCAGTCCCAACATAGGGCTGAACTCCCTTCTACTTCCCAGCCTTTTCAGAAAGCAGCGGTAATTTTCTCTGTCATTTATTTGTATCTACCACACGAGGTACGCGATCATCTCAAACATATCGGCCTGTGCTTTCCGTTACGACACTCCTGTTTCAGCGCGATATACAGAAACGGCTGTCGCTGCCCGCCGACTTGCGTCTTCCCGTAAGCGTGGTCGAGAAGCTGAATGCCACACCGAATCTGAACAAACCTCTGACCCGGAAGAACCGACGAGCTTCGTTGGTAAGTGTAAGGCACGTCGTCCATCAACTGGTGACGTCATTCATCATTCGTTCTCGCTGCTCATTGCCTTGCTGTTTCAGTCAGAGATCGGCTTTGGTAAGCTTGAATCATACCAGAAACTAGAGAAGCTCGGGGAAGGTACTTACGCTACAGTGTACAAAGGCAGGTCGCGGCTCACCGAAAAATTGGTGGCACTGAAGGAGATTCGGCTCGAACAGGAAGAGGGTGCGCCGTGTACAGCCATTCGCGAAGTGTCGTTGCTGAAGGACCTGCGCCACGCGAACGTCGTTACGTTGCACGACATCATCTACACGGAAAGAGCTTTAACCCTAGTGTTCGAATATTTGGTACGTTAGTTTTAATTGATTTTAGATTAATTAATTTCTGATTAAGAAAATAAAGCGACGGATAAAAGAGAGATTTCGCTGCGGTTTCTATTTTTCAGTTTCGCTTCTCTCGTAATTTGTAGGCTCTGTAAACTTGAAAATTAATTGACGCTGCCAATAAACATTTTTAGATATGCCGTTGATTGAATATGCACAAAATTCTTGTTCTGTTTCCTAGCGTGTTCTCTTTAAAGGTGGTGCCCAGTTCGAGTCAATTACCTACACTTTTTTCACTCATTGGTCAAATGTTTTCATTTCTCGCAGTTTCATATGGCTCCTTACGAAATCGTGCCATCTTCTCTTTGTTTTTCTCCTTTTCTTGCCTGCGGTGTCACTACTTGGACGGCATTTTCGTCGTGCTGAGTGTCTGAATCTACCGAATCTGTTTTCCATAGGCTTATCTGAAATAGCTTTTTGTGAAAGCAAAGCCTTCTAATGCCTTCTGTCTACATATCTTCCGGATGTGTTAATCTTTTTCTGAATGAATGTAACATGTTGCCATTGAAAAAACTAAATACAAGTAGTAATCTGGTATTAAAAGAGCTTAACTTTCGGAGATACCAAAATAAATCAAGTAACGTACTATTCGTTGTTCACAGACCAGCGTTAATTTTAGTCATTTTTGGCTATGGTCGATAGGTTTAGAGCACTGTTAATTTAAGTCAGGTCAATTTAATTTTACTGGTGTGGTAGGTGGGAAGTACTGACCTTCAAGCAATATCTACTGCCATAATCTGTTTGACTCCTGATATGAATAAGCCTGTATTCGAGTCGTATGTTTCACACACGCATGAAATGTTATCACTCAGTATCATGCTAGTTGCATTTCTTTCAGTTACCGATTTTCGCACTGGTCTTCAAAAAAAAGTGTTTTGCTCAATACAGTGGCTAGTCCTGTCTGTGAATGCGCTTTGTTAAATGCCTAGGTGAAAAAAATGCTGGAAGCTTAAACGTGCCAGACACATTGCTTTCACCTGCCCAGCTGCGTCGACAAAGTAGAGTCGACTGCTTTCCGTGGTTTCTTAGTCGTCACAGTTGACTTTCTGAGGCTCGTCATTCCCCGCTTCTTCTCCGCAGCCTGGAGACGCGCCAGATGCTCTGCAGCTAGGCTCACTAGTCGTGGTATTTTGACACAGTGTATAACAGGTCCGCTACGAACTGCGCAGAGGTGCTGGGTTCGACTCTGCTCGAAGGTAGTCTTTTGTCTGATTCACGAATTCGCTTGAGCAAGGAATCTTCCACACGTTGCTTCAGACCGAGGTTGTTCAGTTGGCAGAGCGTCGAACTCAGAACTGATAGGTCTTGAATTCAAACCCCCATCATGGTCATTTGCCTTTCTTCCTTCCGAGGTTGACGAATGAGTACCATTCTGTGGGTAGGAAACAGCAGACTACACACTACCTTTGCCACATGGTAGCTGCAAACTCTGCCTTTAAAAGGTTAGGGCACTCCTAGCTCTTGGCATAGAAACGTAGATCCACACCGCACTATTAACTTAGTGAAAAGGTGGACGCCGAAATGGTCATGAAAATGAAGGGAGACCGGCGTTCCAACGTTGACCAACTTTCCTGCTTCCTCTCCTAGACTCGTACGTTCCAGCTGCTGCTAATATTTGTTTAGATAATCTACAATCCTGACGACTTCGCATCTGTGCTACGCTGTGTATCATGTACGTGTATTTAGTGTTTAAAATAATTAAGTACAATATCATTATCGTCAAAATCTTTCCTTCCATTTCTAAACGAAGACCTGTTCAACGTTTTGCTACAAAGTATTTTGTCCTGCCGTTCTCATCCTCGCAGCTGCAACAGATTTCTTCAACTCATCCTGCCATCGATCTGGAGAGGGAATATTCTCACGGACGGCTGACTTTCTCTCTTGTAACTGAGTCTCTCTTTGATCCGGCGAACAGACGGTTGCTCTTTCATTCTGTCCAACTGGCTGCCATTTAAGTTTCTTTACTTGGACAATAAAATCGATGATTATTATTAGTGCCCTTATCCATTCATTCATCTACCTCTCTGTACTTCATATTCATTATGCAGTTTATGAATAGCTTTCAGGCTTATGATCCTTGTTTCGCAGTCATCGGTTAGGACTGGGAGCACGCACTGATTGAACACTTTCGTTTCAGCTACATTGACAGTTTCTCGGATAAGAACATGATCTTTCTTATGAAGATTCATCTTTACATTTTTATCGTTTTGCTGATTTCACATATTCACACGTACACACACACAGAATTTAATATTGCGCAGATATAACATATGTACCTTGATCTACTAACAACGTTAGTCTTACCTACTGCCGATGAATGTAGCCACTTCGCCTTACGACTGCTGACGTGATTGTCTGAAAGTAGTACAGTAGTTAGTATTGATGTTTGTCGTCACTCGTCAGTGGTATCTGTCCGCGACCGAAGGCTCACAAAATGTCTAAAGCCTGTTGACTTTGATGAAAGTGGAGGAGACGTCGGCATTATTTCACGAGGGTTGTTACAAGAATGAATTGCCGAACGGCCCCTCATTAAACTAACTCTAGGAAACAAGAGGAAAACACGCACGGGTCACCGTGTCAATTGAAAAACACCTACAACTCGGTGAACCACGGGAAACGATTGGTTCCCACTAACAAATTCAGGGGGGACAGGGAAAACAGAGAAACCTGAAGGAACGTCGATTTGCGGTTGGGGCTGACCTACAGTAAGGACAAGTTGGATGGGAGACAACATCGCCCTGCGGCTTGGTTGTTAAAGTTCAGGTAGCTAGCAATTTTAATCGACTCGAATACGACTGTGTCACATTGCAGAACAGATGGTGAATGGTTGATGAAGCTCATTTCTTTATTGAGTCGAAAACAATTTGTTCACAGCACTTAAAATAGGCTCAATGCTATAAACGGTTATTCAGTAATCCTATAGGTTTGTCTACGTCGTTTTTTTTCACTCTGTATGTTGCTGCTTGAAGAAATTCAGAGTTCTGAACATGCACACAAGATGAGGTTTTTGTTTGAGGACCAAAAAGTTACTGCAAAAAAAGCACATCGGTATGGTCTGTCAGCCCATGTCTGTGAGGTTCCCTGAGACAGCGCTTTATTTGAACTTATGCTCGACAAGGGAACGTGATTCCATTGATTGACAGTTGAGTCCGTCCTTCACTGATCATTTCCATCGTCTAACTATCATGAAAAGTAGTACTGCAGCACGCTATTGTTGAACGTCAAGCTAACTGGCTGTGCATTATTTCTGCATTGGTGTAGACTAACAGAAGGCGCATTCAGAGTCGAGAGAAAGATCTTAGTTTGCAACCTCGACCAGAGCAATTTCCGTCCATCTTTCTGAAGTAGATAAAGGAGTGCTATGTTATGAGAACGGTATGCAAGACTACGCCCTAAAGCTACCAGTTTTTCTGGGTATGGTCTTAAAAAAGCGATAATCAGGTGTTCCTGGCTGCTGATGCGTTAACAGAGAATATCGCCACGTGTAACTCCATGAAAAAAATGATGCCACAATTAACGGCCGAATGTAAAAGTGTCGAGAAAACTTTCCTTCCAATGGTTAGTCTTTTATTTCGGCAAATGAGGCACGGTGACTCCTCATTCGTAATACGGAGCACTTGCTCGGCTGAGTTCGCATTTCAACTCTTTCAAACAGTAATTTTATGGTTTTTATGGATTCGTAGCCGCCCCCTTCCCTCAACTTATCCAGTTACATTTCGACTAGTGTGAATCGCTGATTGATTTTATCCTTGCTGATTCAGTACTGAGTTTTTGCCTCAATCAATACTTCAGCGCTGCCGGCCCGCACCTTTTGTTTAAAACGGTTGTCTCTTAATAGTGAAGTCTAATTTGTTATATGCTTGAAATCGTCCCAAAGTGCTGCGAAGCTAAGTCAAAATTCAGTGGGAAGCGCCTAAATGAAACACTGAAGAAAGAATGACTTACGGTAGCATGCACACCCTGGTATAGAAGAGAAAGAATAAGTTCGACGGCTTCAGCAGACGCGTTTTCTAACAGCCCTTAACCGTATTTCTCTAAAATGTAATACGTTATGTAAGGATAAGCACCTCGGACTTTGATTCTAATGATCTGTGCAACGATAAGCTTCTGTCATCCAGATTGATTAGCGTGCTAGGCAGAAAATTTACTTTTGACATGCGCTGAATCTCAATACACGCTGGAATGGCGTTGATATGCTTCCGGTATCTAAACGTAGAGACTCGTCGATCGAAATGTAAAACCTAAGGGACGGCTGTCATCCGTCAGTAACGAGTTACGAGGTCATCGTGCTGTACAGACTATAGAGAAGGCTATCTGGTCAGCGATTTCCTCAAGGTCGACCTTACTAACAGCATAGATACTAAGCAGCTAAAGACGAAGAAATGACCAATATTAGTTGAAGGTGGAATCGAAAATTTCGACAGTTTCATCAAGTAGAAGGACACCCTTTTAGCTACTTTCATGAACACGGAATTCATCTGATAAGCCCAGTCTAGAGGGTCATCTACATCTAGGTGCGCCCCTCAGGCACTTAATTGTACGGGTGATTGGGATCAGTTCGTTCTCAGTAGCTATTCATTCTCTGTTACGTTAAGTTTCACAGTATGGGTCATTTCAAAGATACTGCGCGATTTCCATGATGACACCTAGTAGCTTAGAAAAATTTGTCACGTCTCTGATGGCTGGGATCAGATCATATAATAGTGGTATCGAACACAAACAGCATGGCTAGTGGCTTGAATAAAATTCGCGTAAAAGTTCGACAGCAGTGGTAACAGCACTTTCTTGCGACACACCAAGGTTATTTCGCATTTTGAAATAATGTCACTTTCCAGCATTGACGAATGGCCGCCTCTCTGAGAGGTAGTCTGCCAACCAGTGGAGCAGGTCGTTGGCAACTGCAACAACTCGCAGTCGTGTGAGTGAAACAGCACAATATGTCAATGAAGATGACCTCCATGATCCGCGATGAT